CAACAATCATAGACCCCAAGCCACAGGATGTGAAGGAAACCTTTTTTAGGAATTGCTTCAGTCTATGGCACCAATAGCTACAGTTGTGGAGCCACAGAATAAGATGTGGGACGGTCCACAGTTCTTGTGGGATGTGCATAGGAAGTACTGGATTCTATGGTACCAGTAACTACAGACTCGAGGTTGTGGCATGTGAATGGGTCCTCCCCTAGGTCCTATAGGGTGATTGTGAGTGATGCTGGTGCTTTTCGCAATTGTAACCACTTTCCTGGAGCCATAGGTCTGAACCTAGATGAGACTTCCTCCAAGAACCCAGGGGCAAGTACAAGTATTATCAGGGCTTTTGATACTACTAGCATCTGTGGTCCAATCTCTGTAGGCTGTGGAAGAGACCTTCCGTAGATGCCTTGGAGTCATGTACGGGTAACATTTGGCATTGTGGTGCTGATATCCATGCTGCCAGAGTTGTGGCACACAGAAGAAACCTTCCCTAGGTTCCACAGGCTCACCGTGTGGTGCTGGGTTTTGTGGCTTTGGTAGCTGTCCCTGGAGCTGTGGGATGTGGATGGGAATGTTCCTGTATCATATGAGGGAAGCTCTGGTGGGGCTGAGGCCTGTGGCATTGGAAGACAGGGTCCTGGAGCTCCAGGTCAAGGATGAAACCTTCCCCTGGTCTCCAGGGACAAACTTGGGTAATTCCAGAGCCTTTTGCACCAGCAGCTGCAGTCGCAAGGCTGTGGGCTGGGGAGGAAACCTTTTCTAGTTTTTGTAGGGTAACTTGGGGTTGAATTTGAGACCGTGACTGTGGCGGCTACTGGTCTTGAAGCTGCAGAATGCTGAGGGATCTGTCTTCTCTCCTGTGAGGTGTGTACTAGCCAAAGGCTTCTTGTGTGGTCGGGCGCTGGCTGCTGGCCTCTAGTGCAGGATGATGTCTAGCAGTAGCTACGGTAGCAGATTGGACTCTTGAGCTTGAGGAAGCTTGATGTGAGTTCCTTCTTTGGAGCAGAACACTCAGACCAACCAGCCCCCTAAATGGGTTTAGAGCTTGTGAGGACTGGACTTATCCTTCAGCTAGACTTCCAGTGTGCTGCTTTTCCCAGCAGGGTAGAATTATCCTCCCTTCCTACTGAGAGCTTCAGGGCTGAAGCTGAAATGTACTTTGCTCTTTTCTCTGGGCTCTTCTCTGACTGTACACTGTCTAGACATCACTTCTTGCCTGTTTCCAGCGTTCTCCCTCAATCACTCTTCTCGGAATACAGTTTTTCGTTTTTGCCCTGGTTCTGCTCTGTGGCAGAGTCACATTCAGAGCCCCTCTATTCAGCCATCTTTAACAGTATTCTTTAAAAATTCCCTGAAGTGATTCTAATGGATAGCTAAGATTGAGAAATGCCAGCTAACCATAATAGCAGCTGTGGTGAATGTTGCAGAAAACATACAATTGCAAAATGGTGAATTTTCTGCTTCAGTATTTCTTCATTCATTATCTGGAATTCCTTTATGAAGAAAACCTTTTTCTCATTCACTGTATGTTGTTACTGTAAAATACAAGAAGGGCAGGATCACCACATGATTCTTTTCCTCCATATCAGTGAGTCTTGTTTAATGTTTAGAAAAGTATTTTTTAAACAAGTGGATTTTTACCTAGGTGATATGTTTCAGTACATTTCAGTCTTTAGTCAACTTTCCTCTCCTCTCCTCCCCTCCCCTGCCCTCCCCTCCTCTCTTCTCCTCCCCTCCCCTCCTCTCCCCTCCGTTCTCTTGTCCTTTTCCCTCTTGATGCTCAGGTATCCAGTGGTAGCAGTTTGGCATCTGGATACTCAGTCTTTGATGCATTTTTGCTCCCTGGCACATTATGTATGTCTCAGGCTGCTCGTGTGTGTTATCTACCCCAGATCTGGAATACGCCATTTCACTCAGAAACCCCAGTTCATTTTGGCAAAAGTGATATTTAAAAATTATAGTTCCAGCATGAGAGCTGTTTGTTGCCACTAAATAAAGTATTAAAGCGTTGTCTGTGGAAATTATTAAGAAAAATTTTTATTAATTAAAAATTTATGAGCTTGTATTGATATTTCCAAAATAAAGCTAATTTTTAAAAGTTTTAAAGTTATTTTTATAGGAAAGTATCTTTTCCCCTAAGCTAAAATTGTCTATTCCAACTGATTATAACATAATTAATTGTTTTATCCTATTAAACATAATTTCCCATGATGTATCTCTATAGATATATGTATCTATCTATCAAGAGTGTAATATTAAAACAACAAAAGTAATGGTTTCAAAACACCAATGCCCCTAATAATACAACTATTCATTGCAGTTCTGGATTTATTTGTGGTTATTTTTCTCTTTAGAATATATGTTACCAAGAAGGTACAATAAAAATAGTGGGTGTGAATTATCTTGATATGCTATATGTAATACAACAACCATTGTTAATTTCCCACCACCTTGTTTTGAAATTCTGTGTCGTTTTTACTGTTTTTATGTTTTGTTTATGTCTTTGCATTTGTTACTTTGTTTTTGTTCTTTTCACTTTAAAATAAAAAAAAGAAATGCTGTTTCTCTGTATAGTTAAGTCAACTAAATTTGATATAAACTTGGGTTCACTTGTTTTTGCTTGCTTTCATTTTTAGGGATTGGTCTGTTTTAAAAATTAAATTTACTTTAAAATTATATGACATACTTGTGTGTATTCAGAGTCAAAGCCATAATTCAAGCTATATTAAAAAATCCTGATTCTATATCTCTCTCTTCCCTCCTTTTCCGCCTTCCCCAACAGTTAACCATTTGTATTGATTTTGTTCTATTTTCCTCTCTTTGTTTTTGAAAATAAAAATGTGCGTGTGTGTATTTATGAACACATTATTAAGTATAAGGTCCTGTGAGACCTACCAAACATATACTAAAATAGGTTTTCCAGTTTCCAAAGTACTTACATAACATCCTCCTATTTTTCATGTCAGACTTTTGAAATTGGCAGAAAAGCCTACGTTATCCCTGTTTCATGTAAGGACCCAGGAGTCCAATAAATGAAGATTTGCTGAAGGTTACTAGTTTGGTATGTGGCCCAGTTAGAACTAGTGCCCAGGTAAACGTGGCATGGTAGTAGAACACGTTTTGGAGTCAGATTGCCCAGTCTCTTTTACCACTTACTAATCACTTAACTTTAAGCAAGTTGCCTAACCTCTTTAAGGCTCATCTGGGAAGTGGAGATATTTATGGTATCTGTCTCCTAGGGGTGTATGGTATCTGTCTCATAGGTTGAGGAATAATCGATATATGAAATCCTTAGCCAATGCATAGGAACCATAGTAAATGCTTATTACATATGGCGAATATTGTATCCTAACTGATGCTTTCCTCACTGCACTGTGATGCTTTTGTAGGTACTCGTGTTAATGTGTGTGACATTCTAGAGTTAGCTTTGTCTTAGTTGATATTTTTGTTTTCTGAACATGATGCATCCATACTTGTCTTTACCACACCAGTGTAGTCTTTGTGTTACTGCCATTACAAACTTTAGCACATGTGTAGTATATATCAAGATTTTAGTCTTAATTCTCCACCAAGTCTTCCACAGTATCTTGCCTACATTGCATCTTAAGGATTTACTGGTTTAATTATTTATACCTGAAGTGAAGGCAATAGGCGAGAGGTAGATTTGGATGAAGACACCTGAAAGTGGGAAGCCACATGAGCAAAATCAATGTAGGCAGAAGGACAGTATATTTAGGGCACACATATTAAATGTAAAATGGCTGGGAATGGTGGCACATGCTTGTAATCCTAGCAATCTGGAAGGCTGAGGCAGGAGGATCACAAATATAAGCCCAGCCCGGGTACTTGAGAAATTTACACTCTATCACAAAATAAAAAAATAATAGAAGGCCTGGGGCACATAGCTCAGTGTGAAGGGCTTGGGTTTAATCCCCAGTATCCCTGCTAAAAGTCCCTGCATTAGGGTGTGATAAATAAGAAGGGAAACCTGAAATATTTTAGGAGTTTGGTCTCATAGTTGTGATTTTAACATAAGCATAGTACCTAGTACTTGAAGATTTGGGAGTGTGACATAGTTTTAAAGAGTGAGATCATAGTTATCTAGTTTGTCTGACATAATTATGTTTTAAAAATAAGGAAACAAAGTTGACTTTTAAAAAATGTGGGAGGGTGAATGAAATACCTAACATATCATGGGTTTTGCCAATGAATATGGCCATTATATGTATGTTCTCTGTCACTAGATGGAGTCCATGAGCCCAGGGAACTCTTGATTGAACTTTTCCATACCCCTTCCTATAATGCTATTTTGTGCCTTTAAAAGACAGAATAATATTTTTTTAAAAATTGGCAAATGGTTTTGAATGGCAGAATTATTGGATTTGCATTTTTAAAAATCAGTGTATAAAATTTCAAAATAGTCTTTTCTTTACATTCTTGCTCTCTACATTTTTTTTTTGCAGAAGACCTTTAACACCACAGTTTAACACTATTGTAGCTCCAAATCCCTATGGTTTAAAAGAATATATTTAATTAGCAAATTTATTTTATTAGTGAATGTCAGTTTAAAAATTAAGTTGTTAGCTTTTGCTGCAGGGCTGCTGTCATGAGCTTCCATATTGTTATTGTGTTATTTCTTAGCATAGTACAATATAGATCTGCATTTCTAAAACTGGTATGGTATGAGTTATTACAAGAGAAAGGTCAGGATGAGCAACTTTTCTTTTCAAGTCTGGTAAATGGTAAGACACCATGTGCTAGCAATAGATAATAAATGCTGATGATTATTCCAGTCACAAGCTTCCTTTGCTGTTTATTTGGGGTTGGACTGGGCAATGGGAAGAGGGCAGGTGAGTATGTGAAGGCATTAAAGAGAAAGCATTTGGGGACTTTCCAGGACCCAAGAGAATGCAGTAATTTCCTCCATTGGTTTGTGTGCAAGGCATTATGAGGGCAATTTCTGATCTAATTCTTTTTTTTTTTTTGTCATTTTGCTGCAGCACGTGCCCTTATAGTCGGCCTCCCTTCGGCTATGGAAATTTTCCAAGTTCAATGCCAGAATGCCTGGGTTACTATGAAGACAGGTATCAAAAACATGAATCTATGTTCTCAGCTTTAAATAGAGACTATCCTTTTAGAGACTACCCGGATGAGCACGCACACAGTGAAGATTCTCAGAACTGTGGGAGCATAGATGGGACCTCTTACTACAGCACCCACAGCCACGGCGGGGAGGAGTACCTGAACCCCATCCCTCAGCTGGACATCGGATCCTTGGAAAACGTCTTCACAGCCCCAGCGTCAACTCCCTCCAGCATCCAGCAAGTCAACGTCACTGACAGTGATGAGGAGGAAGAAGAAAAAGTGCTCAGGAATTTATAATTTTAAAACACACATATGCACAGAAAATAAACATATCTTAAAGTATATTCTGGGTCAGTTGGTGTCAGAAAAAAAAAAAAAGCCTAGAATGCTTTGCTGAGAATTTTCAGCCATGATTTGAGGAGTCAAAACCAAATGTAATTCATGTCTTTGTAAGGTTTTGAGTAGTGGAACTGGAGTCCTGACCTGGTATTTCATCTTAGGAATATTTAAAACATGAAGTACTTTATTTTTCATGGCTGAAATTTACACCAGTCCATATCATCATTCTCTTATCTTGCAGCATGGGAAATGCAGAAGCCTCACAGTTGTGTGTGAGGAGGGAGGGAGAATAACACACCTGGCATGGCAAGTGTGATTTGCATTTATCTCAGGATACATTCATTTACTTACTTTTCTTAAATACTTTTTGTTTAGTGTTTATATAATACTTATGGATATTGTCAGTGTTTTTGTAACATTTTGAAAATATTTTGATAACTTTTAGAAGTAAACTGGGACTCAGTTACTAAATTTAATTCACACTAATAATCAATTCTAAGTTGCAGATGTGTTTTAAATGGCACCTGGGTAATTCTTTCAGCTCTATTTAGTCATTACTCTTCCGAGACAATTTTATCATCATATTTGAATATCTTTTGCCATTTGGTATGCATTGTTATATTTTTGTTATAGTTAAATAAAGAGATAAAATTGTTCTTGCTGAATGTTTTCTGTTTGGAGGATAGACAAAAGCACAGGATTTTTCATTTAAAATGATTATTCATACTGCACAGAAACATTTCTTTTTACCTAGTACCTCCAGAATTACAGAGAACCCTCTGTTACCTTGCATAAGACTTGAAATTTTATCAACAAAGAAGTGTGTATGTTCTGATGCTATTTGGATGCTGTATTTCATGTGGACACATGGGATTTAAGCACTCACAAAAGGGAGGGGCCTTTCAAGAGTTGGCTCAGGCTGCTGTCTTGGAAACCATGGAGTTTACTTAAAAGCATATGGAATTTCTTTAATTCGCAGTATACAAAAAACTCTACTTATGGTATAACCTCTCAGCAAGCACGCACTTACAGAAGACCTTCTTAGAATAGGGTCAGGACCATCAGAGTTGGGATCATGATGAAAGACAGATATAGGAAGGCACAAAGTGAGTTGATGATGGGATATTGCTGCAAATCTGTACGCTTTTCCCTCAGTTAACTGTAAATTTATGCAAAGTAAGGTGTTGTTACTTAAAACTGCTCGGAAATTGTGTATGGAAACCTGTTCTAAGCTTCAAACTTATTCCTTCACTAAGCTTGCATTTGCTTCTTAAACAAAGATTGTTAATGTAATACATTTCATCAACCCTATATTGTATGTACCATTTTTACTCCTAATAAAATTTTTATTTTCATATTTTATATTCTTTATTACTCAGCACAATGCCATTTTTGTGTGGTTAAAGAGAAAAACTTGAGCTTTTTTGATGGATAGCAAACGTGTCGCTTCACATTCAAACTACATCAACATTTGTCTGTCTACACAGTTAATGTCTCTACCACTCTTGATGAATCTATGATGCGTGCTGCAGCAGGCTCTTTGTATCACTGACAGCTTTAAAATGTTTGTCATCATTGGTCTATCGCATGAAGGAGAAATACATAAAACAATTTGATCTATTTTATACCACCTCATTTAAATAATAGTACCTTTTGTGACTCAGTAGTTTTATCAAAGGCCTCGTTCTTACAAATTGATAGGGAGCAAATCACTTTGTAAAGTACTGATATGACATAGAGTACAGCTCAGTATTTCCTAACTACCCATTTTCAGGGTAGCCTGGCACCTTTGACTTCCTTTCTACTGTTTTGTCTTAATGGGGACTGGACAACTCTTTTACTCTTCTACCTCCTATTCAGTGCAGAGGTTAAATGTCAGTTTTGATTACTTATAGGTCCACAGTTTAAATTAGTTAGGAAATATACTTACTTTTTATTTAGAATATTAATAAACAGATCCTGGCTTCAGATTAATTTGCTTAACTACAAATGCTCATATCTGCTCGTTGATAGTTCCTTAAACCATACTAGAGATCTACATACATAACAAAGCCCTGCCTCATACGACAATTCATCTGCCTCTCCAAGTCATCGGAATGAAAATTCTCTAAGCTGCAAGCCACAGGTACTTTCTAATAGATCGCATTGTCTTGTTTGTTCTCAATGTATGTTGAAACGTCAGTATGTTTAGAATGTCAAACTGTTCTGTGCTTTGGATATAACTACCTTGCCCATCTGCAAATAACTAGTTTCAAATAGTAAGTTTAGTCTTCCAAAGAGTTGTTATTAAATTTAAAAATACCAGAACACTGTGTTCTCCACGGGTGTTAGTTAGAATCAGACCTAGATATTCTGACAAAATTTGGTCAGTTTTGGTAAACATATAGCATGCTTCTACCTTGGAGAGGGTCAATGTCCGTTATGATTATTATGTCTCACAAATTGTACAGTAAGCAAAATGTTGAACCCTATCTCAGAGCTTTCTAAACTTACTCAGTATGAGGTGCCTCTCTCTGTCTCTTTTGTCTCTCTGTCTCTCTCAGTCTCTCAGTGTGTACTAACATGCCACAGAACACACTTTGGAAAATGCTAATACAATTATAGCTGGGGCTTTAGTTTTAAAATTGTTGAGTTCACGTATTTTTTTGTATTGGTTACCTTAAATCCTTTTTTCTGAAAGAAGTAGCTGAAGAAACATTTTTTAATTCAGTATTTAACAGCACTAAGCTGGCTTTTTAATGAAAGTTGGTATTAAAAATTCAAATGGGCAAATATACTAAATACACAGCATGTTTCCCTGGGTCACCTAACTGTCAGAAGGATTATTCCCGAGACAAAAGTCTGAACTAATGTCTATAATTGGATTCTATGAGTTTGAAATATTCTATGAGTTGCTTGCAATATTTTCAGTACTATGAATTGCTTGCAATAGCAGTGTAATACTGATAGGGGAAAGTGATTCTGAGATTTTTTTTGTCCTGCCTTTTGAACAGATTCTGTTAGAACACACCATGTTTTAGCTTTTTGAATTATCTTAACAACTTTTTAGTATTTAAAAGAAATTCCAAGTGCATCATATAAAAGTACTTACCTAAAAATAATTACAGGAGGAATTACCATTTATCTAATTCTATTTGAACAAAAGTTTCATATCCTCTTGATAAATTTACCCTTTATGTTTTGCATTCTGACTGCCTGATCCTACATAACATTTGTCCTTTGTGATGATGTAATTAATATACACAAAGTAAAGTTTAAAGTAAGCAATGAATGCCTCTTGAAAAAGGGAGAAACGGGGTGGCTGCCTGCTATACCATTTATCTGGCTCCTCTCTGAAAGCATTTCAGAGAGGTGCTACTTCTTTCTAAAAATAATGACCTGCATCTTACATTTATTCTTTTTTAAAAGAAGATCTTTAAAAAGGCAAAAGATTTATATGACCTGAAGGGAAACCACAGTATAAAAAGAAGATCTTTAGAAAACTAAATTTTTGCCTATTTTCCCTAGGACACTGTCCTTAGGCTAATGACCTTTCCCGGAGAATGTCATTTTTAAAAAACTGTATGTAATTATATAGGTTATAGGTCAGTGCTGGCAAAACTTGGCATGCATGCTACAACAGGCTGTCTGTATCATGGAAAACTCTAAAAGGTTCATCATCACCATTATAGGCCAAATAATAGGTGTAAGGTGACTAATCATCCTGGCCCCAGCTTTACTTGAAATCTGTTTTTTGATGTAGATGTGTATAGCTTTAAACTACACTCTTTATACTGTTTCTGCTGTATCCCCTAAGTTTTGGTATGTTGTATTTCCATTTTCCTTTGTTTCTAGAAATTTTTAAATTCCTCTTTTCGTTTCTTTGATGACCCATTGTTTATTTCAAAGTGTGTTGTTCAGTCTCCATGTATTTGTATAAATTTTAAACTTTTATTAAAATTCTAGTTTTATTCCATTATTATCAGATATGATACAAAATATGATTCCAATTATTTGAATCTGTTGAGACTTACTTTGTGTCCTTAACATATGGCCTATTTAGAAAACATTCCATGTACTGATGAAAAGAATGTATATTGTGCAGCTGTCACATGCAAAGTTCTGTAAATGTTAAGTTCTTTTGGTTTTTACTGTAGTTTAATTTTGATTTTTTAAAAATTTTTTTGTCACAGTGATCTGTCAATTGATAACAGTAGGGAGTTGAAGTCCCCTACCTTATTGTATTGCAGCCTAAAACTCCCCCTTCAATCTAATAATGTTGGTCTAGTAGTACTTTATAAAACTGAATCCTTTGAGATTAGGCACATACAATTATTATATCTTACTGATCTATCCCTTGAGCATGATGTAGTGACCTTTTTTGTCTTTTCTTACAGTTTTTGTCTGAAAATCTATTTTGTCAGATATAAGTATACTCCTTTACTCTTGCTTGCTTTAGGTTTCCATTTGCTTATGATATCATTTTCCATCCTTTCATTTTCAGTCTCTGTGTGAATTTACTGGTGCGGTATGTTTCTCATAGGCAGTATATTGTTGAGTTTTTTTTTTTTTTTTTAATCCATTCAGGCAATCTGACTCTTTTAACTGGAGAGTTTAGTCCATTTATATTCAAGATTATTATTAATAGAGAAGGACTTCCTCCTGTCATTTTGTTAACTTTTTTCTAGTCATTGTGAATACTCTTTGTTCTTTTATCTTTGTGATTTGATGGTTTACTCTATTGATAATATTTGATTCTTTTCTATTTCTTTTGTGTATCTACAAGTCAAGTGGGATTTTTATATTCATATATCTCCTTTATGATAGTTGGCTTTCATTTCTGAATGTGGGACTTCTTTTTGTAAAGCTGTCCTGGTGGGCTGTTTTTGCTTTGAAATGTCTTTATTTCTCCTGCAGTTCTGAAGGATTGCCTTATAGTTATTTTGTTTCAGGACTTGGAAGGCATCATTCCATTCCCTCCTGGCATGTAGGGTTTTTGCTGAGAAATTGGTTATTAGTCTAAAAGATATATCTTCAAATGTGATCTGGTGCTCTTCTCTTCCAGATTTTAGAATTTTTTTCTTTGTCTTATACTTCTGACAGTTTGACCATGCTGAAGATCTTTTCTGATCAATTCTATTTGGAGTTCTGTAAGCTTCCTGTACATGGTGTCCATATCTTTCCCAAAACTAGGGAAATTTTCTGCTATTGTATCTGCTTTGGTTACTTTTCTCTTGTTGCTGAGACAAAATATTCAAGGCCCAAAATTAAGGATGGAAAGGTTTACTTAGCTCACAGTTTGTGGAGGTTTCTGTCCATACTTTGCTGACTCCAAGGCAGGGTGGCACATGGCAGAGGCAACAGTTCATAGCGGCAGAAGACAGCAAAAGCAGCAAGAGCACAAAAGGAGGAGCGGGGGCAAGCAACCTCTTTCCCTCCCTTATATTGTATGCAAACTACCTGCCCCAGGGCAGGTGTAGGGCTCACACCCATAATTCCAACATTGGACCGTGAATCAATCCTAAACTCTAGAAGCCCACCCCATGACTGCATGAAGCTTTGGGGGAACATCCAGACACAAACCATAACAATATCATTGAATAAATTTTATGTTCTTATCTTTTTTCTACTTATCTTTAAGTGTTGCAAAAATATGGATATTTGTTCATTAATATGGTATTCCATTTTTTCATTTGTTCTAATTTTTCTTTGTCTGATTGGATATTTTAAAACACCTATCTTCAAGTTCAGATGTTTTTTCTTCTGCTTGATTTGGTCTGTTCTTGAGGTTTTCAACTACATTTCTTATTTGACCTCTTGAGCTCTTAATTTCCAATATTTTTGCTTGTTTCTTTAAAAGAATCTTTATCTCTTTGCTGAATTTCATTCATATTCTAAATTGTATTTAAAGTCTGGTTTTATCCATTTTACCTTTCTAGCACTCAGGTTGATATGCAGCATGCAGGTTTTATTTTATTTAGAGCAGTTTAGCAAGGTTTTGAATTATTTTTGCCACAAAGGCTAGGCCATTGTCACTTTTTATGGACAGAGGGAGTCCATATCTGGGAGTAAATTCTTGGAGCAAAGCTCAGTTGATCTCAGCGGATTTTCACATAAGAGTCCTTCGTACTGGGTAACCTGGCTGTTGGATAGCCAGGGGATGTACATGGTTATTCAGGAGGTCTAGTGTAGCATGTGGCACCTGGATGGTTAGGTCTTGGCTTAAAGTGAGCTCATTAGCTTCCTTGACTAGAAGGACAGTGGCTGCCAAAGCACAGAGGCAAGTGGGCCAAACCTTAGTTTTTGTAAGTTTTTGGACAGGTAGGCCACTGGGTACTCCTGGGACTGACAGT